CTGCCGGGAGCGGGTCACCATGGGACAAGCCCGGCCAGGGTGTGTGGAAGAGAAGAGGGTATTTGGCTGTGGGAGCCCGGGCTGCGCCGGGCAGGAAGGGAGCACAGCCCAGGCTTTTGCCGCTGACGCACGTTCCCGAGCGGCGCGGGGCACCCAGGGAGCCCAAAGCTCCCATCGCCCAGCGGCACAGCCTCATGCTTTCAGCGGAGCCTGGTGATTTTGCTTCTGTCCTGGAGGTTTCCTGCCCCAGGAAGTTTTCGATGGCTACGTGTAACGCAGAAACTTAACTGCACCTCAGCTTTCCTTAGCCTCGAGTTAGGCAGGTACGAGCTCTGAGAGCAGGCTGCCAGCAAGCACCAAGACACACGATTCCCTTCTCCTCCTCCATCTTCAGCCAACACCTATCCACCGGGATGTACAAACATGCAACGATATGCTGCAGGAAAAATCACATGGGTGTTCCCAGAGGGGGAGTTTGCATCATCAGAGCCCAAGAGTCCCTCGGGAACACCGAGGCGATGTTGCAGTACCCAGCGGTCCCAGGAACCCCGTTGTGCCCGGGGGGTTCCTCTCACTGAGCCACCGCACTATGCTCTGCAGCGCCTGTCCCCAGGCGACATACCCCAAGCCCACCAGGACGCCCGCCGGGTCCTTGCGTCCTTGCCTTCGGAGCCAACTTCAGCTGCCAAAAACATGCCATGTAAGCAGCACTGCACTGCCACGGACTCTAGCAAAATCAGACTTGAGGTATTCTTGGCATCAACACTTAAAACACGTTGTAAAGAAAAACACTGAGCAGTGGATCGACACTAATTTGCTCTCAGTTGTGCTGCACTGTTTGCAACTCTGTTTTGAAAAGACGTATTCACTATGCCCGTGAAACACTCGCCCCTTATAGTTGGAAATGGGTGGGGTTTGGTGCTCTGGTGTTACAGTTGCACACTTGCCCATGTCCTCACATCTCAAGCATTTTACACCCACAGCGTGCATTTGGAGAAGAGCTCTGTTTGGGCCATGTTGGCGTTCTACAAAGGGATACACGTGAGGATCAACCACCTTTCTAAAGCTCCAAAGCTAGAGCTGTGGGAGTCCTCTGCCTGCCCATGTTTTTTTTCCCCTGAACAGGCACCAGTTGGGATGTCTCCGAGGAGCTCACCTGCCCAGTGTCCTGCCCTGCACCACTCCTCCTCCCCACACCAGCTGCCCCTGGTCCAGTCTAAAAGCCTGAAGCACAGAGAGCCACAGTGATAGTCCTGCTCCTCCTCAGGCACATGTGAGCTTAAGAGACATGGTTTGTGCCCTGTTTGTTTCTTTATGGTCTTTAAAAGCCTGAAAAACCTCCAGGAGTCATAAAACAGGCACACCACTGCTTCTGCATGACTTTCTAAGATTAGAAACATCAGCTCGGCTTACTGGTACTCACCTCTATGTCCAGAGAAGAAGTGGGGGGATTCCCCCGCCCTTAGTGGGATGGCAGGAAAGCAAACACGGAGATTTTTGTTTTATGCCAACAGAAATGTTGGCAGAGGGTCTCCCACTGGCACAGGGCCATCCCAGGATTTACAGTAGTAAAACCCCACTCCGTAAGGACTGACGTGCTTTTTTAGCTTCCTCTGTGGTGCGAGGAACAAAGACAGGTGCCAGTATGTACAGAATTCCTAGGGGTGGCACTGGGGATCTTTAATTCTCTTCTCGAAAGATACACGTGGTCAGTGAACACAGCTGGAAGCGACCAGTCCCCAGGCGGCTGCGGTGCGCAGCGAGCCAGCCTGGCTCTGGGGCACGCACAGCCTCTCTGTAACCACTCACGCTCCAGGCATCCAGGAACAAGGTCTCCTGAATCCAAATCAAAGTCCTTCATTCTTAAGAGCACCCCAAGACACAAACTGAAGAGCCATCTTCATTGGCGGTTCTGATGGAAGAGAAAGGCTGTGACGGGCAAAGGAGTGAGATTCTCCTAAACCTTGCAAGGTAAAAGTGCTCTCCTCAAACATGTGGGTAAAACGCTCAAATAAGCACCACTTGTCTTGCTCTGTCATCTGTATCCAGCACAGTGCTACGTACCTCCAGTTAAAAAACCAAAACAAAACCACAAACTAAAGACAAATCTTGTTCTTAACTCACAAAATGATACACATACACATGGGCAAGTTATCAGAAAAGGCATTATATTTTGGTTTCCACCTTATTTAAAACTGATTTTGGTTTTCAATCAATCAAATGTGAGTATGTCTGAGTTCAGTTTTCAATTTTTTTTTTCCCCATAACAGTAATGATCTGGATGACCATAATTATAAAAGGGGTGGGGAGAAAACCCAAGAACAAGAGAACAAGATATATAGTTTGAACTGTGCTCTCTTCCACACGAGCACCCCAGGGAATGTTAGTTTCAGCTCTTCATTTTTTTTTTTTTTCCTTCAGGTTGTTACTAACAAAATCTCTACCGTTTATTAAAGCAAAGCTACAGTAAATTTTCTTGCAGTCTTACAGCAGGTTTTCATATTACCAGTAGGACTCGCATGCATGGATTGCAGTCACACACACACGCTCACAGACATTATACAGTAGCCAGTTGCCACCATAAAAAAAAAAAAAAAAAGAAAAAAAAAAGAAAAAGAAAACAGACATTCATTTCTTTTAAGTGGTCAACATTAGAATCGCACCAAACTTTTGGATCAAAAAAAAAAAAAAAATACTGCACAGGTCTTCCACATCTACATGTTAAGTCATCCCTTCGCAACGGACGGAGCTCTCGTCTCCATTTGTTCAACATGCATCGCTGAAGCTTGAAGGCACACTGGCCAAAGAGAGCCCTGTTCTTTTTTTGTCGTCTTAACTCGAGTGTGCTGCTCTCGGGGTGCAAAAAAAGGAAAAAAATAAAGCCAAGCCCTTTTGCAGCACACTGGGAAAAGGTCATTCGGAGACCACAGTACTTGGAAGGCAGCCCAGCTGCCTGGATTCTACTTCTAACTGTGCTCTTGGAGGCATTGAAGGAATACACTTGTCTTCAAAAATGACATATAAAGGCAAATTTCTGCAAACTCTTTCTTTTCAAACTGCTTACGGTAGACTAACGCTCCTTCTGGAAGAAACTGGTCCTTCAGTCACCAGCTTCAAGTGGGAAATTTCCTACCTGCTGTCTTAAACACTGAAGCACCAGAGATTATAGGGCTGATGTGTTCAGGCATTCATCAGCTTCAGGAAAACTTAACACAAAAAAGAAAAAAAAAAAAAAGCTAAAATGAAAAGAAATCCCCAATGCCTCAAGAGCACTATATCAAACCAGAACTCTTGGGCTACTGACTGCCGGCACTGTCAGAAGCTGCTTGCTTCTGGGAAGACACCTGGAGGTTGAAGCCTTATGGTGATTTCGTATCCTCCCAGGGTGAGATTTGCTGAGCTTTACTGATTGCAAGATAAAGCAGTGTTTTGGAAAACTAAAACCAACAAACTCATAATAACCATCACCAAAATCACCATTGGGAAAGTTCCATTTGTTAGAAGGTCTCATTGAGAAACATCAGTCCCTGCCCCGCGGAGCAGGACAGACACGATTAACAAAACCCAGAACGACCCGTCCCCCACAAGCCGGGCCTTCAGGGACTAGTCCCTGAATTATATTGGAGGGGGAGAGAGAAAAATAAACTAAAAAAAGAAGGTTGTATCACCTTTTCCTCCTGTTAAAGTTTCAATCCTCTTATTCCACTTTTATTTCTTTGTTTTTTTCCCCCGATTCTCCCTTCCACTCTGCCACCTTAGCTGGGGGAGTTATTGGTACGAGAATTTGGAGAGTCCTGCTCATTTATTGTGTTCAAGAGTACACACACCGGCTGCCGGGGCAGGTGGTGGTGGCTGTGTTCACGGTGCTGCTCTTCCACAGCATTAAAAAGCCCTTCCTCCTCGTCCCCGTGGGGGCGGCCACTGCAGCTGTCGCAGAAGTCCAGGGGCCCGTCCAGAGCATCATCGATGAGCCCGTCGAACTCCTTGAGGTCGTCGTCATGATGGCCCCGGTTGCATACACAGACTTCGATGCCCGAGTCGCCGGTGAAACGGCGCTGCCTGCCCGGCGTCTTGTCCTTCGCGTCGGGAATGGCGCTGCTCTGCTCTAAGCTCTCAGAGCTGTAACCTTTTAGCAGTTCCTCCTTGCACTCCGTATCCTTATCGGGACCGGCCCTCTCCACTAGCTCAGCTCCCGTGCTGGTACCGCCAGGCTCGACGCTTTGCATTTTGGCAACTGCTCGCTCGACCAGTGTGGTGGTGGAGGGCTCGGGGTCCCCAAGGCCGGGGGACCCGGTGGTGTGAGTACTGCTGTTATTGCCGCTGGGTGCTGCTGAGCTGCTCTGTGCTGGCTGCAGGTTTCTTGGCGTGTCTGGGATTGTGCTACTGCTGCCTGCTGGGACGCACTGCTGATGTAAGGCACTATATGGTGGGGGCGGGGTCGGCGGTCGGTTCACAACTTCCTCATAGGGAGGTAGTAAATAATTTGGCAAAAACCCTAAAAGTGGGAGGCAAGGAGGAGAAGTTATTTCATGAACAGCTTATCTCAGGAAACAAGTCATTAATACAGGTCGGTATATTATTTGTCATCTACCAGCACCTTCCCACTGAACAGCTAAATGGGCTTTACAAGGAGTGCCAAAACTTGGCCCAAGTGAGACATGTTATGTTTTAGAGAAGCAGCAATCGCGGCACAGGAGGGCACCATTACAGGAGGAGATGGACACAGCTGGGAACAGCAGCCTCATCTCCCTGCTCTCAAGTCTATGCTTAGGGCTACCAGGCGAACCTCCCCCCACCGCCCTGTACCCCAATACGGCCCTATAAACCACACCAAGGAATGGCCTGCGTTGGCTGCAGAGAACAACCTGGGAGATAACTCGCCAGCCCTCTCCAACACTGGCTTCTCAGCTGAGTTTCCATTTTCAAGAGCAAAGGTTTCATCTCACAAAGCTTTGTGCAAATATGAAGAGACATGAGCAGTTACAGGGAACTTAGGATCCTGGCTTTTGGTTGTTGTTTTAGTGCTGGATTCAGTTTTTCTGGTGTGGTCAGAATAAATTGGCAGTACTGGCAAGAGAGTTTGGTTTACTGTACTTACAGCCCCTCAAATCTAGGAAAGATTTTGTTTATTTCTTAAGAGGCAGCAAAATAGTCTATATAGACAGAATGGACTTAAATACTGGAAACATTTAAAGATAGCACTACAGTTTTCCATGTGCAATTGCGTACCCCTGGGGCTGGGGAGGAAAGCGCTGCCGGGGATTATTTCTGAGGTGGCTGCAAGAGTTTAACGAGAAAAGCAAGTTCATACATGCAATTCAACAGTCCATCACAGGCAACTCAGTTGTGGTGCCTCCACTCAAAAGGTCGAGACTTGCTGTTCTAGCACAGCATAGCAGGGCACAAAGGAGAGAACAAAGCGATTGTACTTTCCCTGAGCCATGGGCAACAGGTCCTTCGTGCAAACTCCTAGGGCTGCTCACCAGCAGCGTCGTCTGGGAACCGCAGCACAGGGCAGGAGCCAGCACAGTCCCTGATAAGGCACCACTTCCACCCAGCCTGTGTGACCCAATTTCGTGAAGCCACTTCCCACATCTCAATCCCACCAGCAGAAAGTGCAGGCTGGAGAGAAGGAGCATCCATAAAGTCCTGAACGAGATATTTTAAGAACCTTCCCAGAAAAACACCCAGGGAATCACCCACTCACAGAGCCAAACCAAGGGTGGGTGTGAAGGTGCTGTAGCTGGTGTGGTTCAACTCCAGACTCAAGGGGGCTCAAATGCATCCAGCAGCTGGAATATGTCACCTCCTCTCTACAAGCCAAGGTTAGGCAGCAAAGCTGCCCTCCACCTCTTGCTGAGCCCAACCACCGCTCCCCGCTTCCACCCAACATGGGAAACTCGCCACTGCCCTGCTCCCCACAACCTCCAGGAAAAACAGTGTGAGGTACATACGGAAATAAAACGGCAGGGCTGAATAGTTATGGGCTTCCCGGTAAGCGATCAGGTTGATCTCATGTTGCCGCTGCTGCGCCTGGAGACGATGTTTGGTGCGTCGGTGATGGCAAACACAACAGCAGCTGAGGATGATGATGATGGTCCACACCAGCCAAAACCCTGCAGCGGAGGAGAGCAAGCATTAACCATAGCTCGAGAGCCACATCCAATCCCAGGACACCCCATGAAGGCGATGGAAGAGATCATCAGAAAGCCTGGATCTGAACCCCGCACAGCGCTAAATGCAGAAATACATAGTGCACCAGGAGGCTTCGATACGGACCCGCCTGCGTGGGTGGCTGCTACTCTGGCAGCCTTGACCGAATCGGGTAACTCTGTACACACTTCGGTACAATGTGGAATATGTTCAACAGGCACAACTCTGGAAGAGAATGAAATATGGAAACAGGGCTAAGCTCCCCCCCACCCCTTGGATATAATTTCTTCTGGCCAAAAATATGAGTAGAGCTGTGAATAGCATTGAACTTGTCTCCCACAGCCACTTCGGTTTGAAAATAACAATCAAGACACAAAAGACACTCTGCAGATTGACCGCAGAAGAAGAGAAAAACCCCAAGCACTATGTTTTGCTTTTGTTTGCACTGCTCTTTAATTTCCAGCCCAAATCCTTCATTGTTATGCTTAACAAAAACATACTTTTTACATAAATGTCTCAAAATATTTTTAAAACTTATTTTTGTATTCAATGTCTTAAATCATCCAAAATTAAATTAAACTAGCCTCCCACTCTGAATCCTCAAGAAACCTAACTTCTGCTCTGTTTGTGGTCACGGCTGGTTTCTTGCACTGTTGTACTGTACGTACACTGTTCCTTAAAAGGGAATTTTAAAAGAGCACTTCCTGAATTTTCTCCACTCCCTCCAACATGTGGAATAACCCCTCCTTTCTGTAAATTCCCCTTCATGCTTGCATGCACTAGAAAAATGTTTCCGATGAGGCTTTTGTCTCCTGCAACTACAGCTCGCAGCTCTACCTGCCTCAGCGGTGTCTGTAATCTCTATCTTTTTTAAGCTCAGCTTTTGCAGCTAAGGATACCAGGAGAGCTCCCCCTTTAGAAACATGTAGGCCTGGCAGCCACTCCCCAGCAGAGATCACAACACCATTTTTCTTTCCGTAAGACCCCTGCCACTCTTCATTATTTCCAAACAGACAAAATGAAGACTCCTAGTGCTACAGCCCATTTTCAGCATGGCCATTCTGCCCTGTGAGATCAAACTGCTTCTTTTCTCCCTAGTAAAAGCTCTAGTCCTGCCTTTACAATACCTTGATGTTTTCAGCATCCCCTGCTGAGTTAGCAATGTTTTCTCTGCTAAGAGCTGGGTGGGGAAAGGTGAACAGTTTAGGAATTTCAAGAATGAGAGGAGTATTGCTCTGGCTCAGGACAAAGTCCAATCAACCCATATCACAGATCTCAGAGCCTGGCACTGGGCTGTTAGTAGGTGAACTGGATATGCCGTATCATGCCTCTGAGCATTTTGAGCAGGGACTTTCACCTCCCTGTGTCGTAACCCAAATTCTCCATGTATTTTGGCACAGCAAACTGAAATCTCTCTCATCTTGCGCAACCAATTTCCCTAATGGACTGGATTCTGCCTTATACCCAAACTTATCAAAACCTGCTATCAAATGAAGGTGTTACATGCTCCATTTTTTTTTTTTTGCTTGGCTGGATATCAAGGTTCCTAGGCAGTTTTTCTAGCCAGCCTGCTCAGCTATACCACGAAGGGCAGAGAGAAGACTGTGATCTTCGCTCCAGAGAAGCAAAGGACGAAGCACTCGAGATGCCTTCTGCACTTCCTTCAGACTGAACTGAGAAAGTGTCCACTGCCCTCCAAACACCCTCCTGCTTCTAAAAAAGCTTATAGAAACTATAAGGATTGGTCTAGTCCACCCTTCCCTCCAAAGTCAGGCATTTGCAACCAGTGCCTCGCAGTTTGAAGACTCCCACAAATACACTTTATTTCTTGCTGAGAGAAGGTCCCTTGGCTCTTGCTTGCTGAGGAAGCAAGAACACACTCATTGAAACCAGGTCATTGGCACAGCACGCCACCATGCACTGAAGGCCTGCAGTTCATCTTCCAAGTACTCCTTATTTTCGAAGAGCAGTCCGTGATCATGCATTCAAAAACAATGGAAAATTACACCCAGCTATCCAGGGATTTTAGCTACAGTTATGAAAACAGATGCTTTTTAACACATTTGATCATGTCCTTTCCCAAGGACTCTAGATGCAATGGTAGCAAGCAGCACTTAGTTAGTTAAGATGTCCTGGAGAACTGCCACTGTTAAGCAATCTCAGCTGTAGCAGCCGAATTTTTCTGCAGGGAATAACTGCTCCCACCCAAGCCTGCATCCAGAAGATTAAAAAAGTATTTCTTTAGAAAACTTCTCTACCCATTCCAAAGAAATCCCAAAGTGCTTTGCAGAAAAACCGATGCACAAGCTCAGAGTAGGGGTCAAAGTAAGCTCAGCCATTCCTGGGAAGACGTGCGGCAACTCTGTAAACAACAGGCAGTAACAACATAAAACAGTTTAGGACAATAAATTAATGCTGGATCCTACTGGAACCGCAGGTGGCATTTTAAGTAAGCAGACCATAATTTACTGGATTGCAGTCTGGCTAAGGTGCCAGGAACAACACCTCCATTCTCGTGCAAAGGGTCTATGCACGCTTGCAACCACAAGTGGATGAGATCTGTTGTTTTTCATGGGAATTTCCAGAAAAAGAACCCACTAATACCACGTTATTGCCTGGTTTCATTAACTGCTGACACTTCCTAGAGCTTCTAGGAATTACTCAACCCCTGACTCAGCACGAGCCCAAGGACTTGCCTGGATGATCACAGGAGGTCAGCAGCGTGTGCCCACCACAGCCATTTGCTGGCCAGGCTTCTGGTGTCCTCTTTAACGTCTTTGCCCCCACCTTGTCACGCAACAGCACATCTGCACCGCAGGGCTGAAAGCCCCCCCAGCGCATAGAAAGCAATAGGATGGGAAACCCATAGCTGCTGAGGCACACAAGGGGCTGCTTGGTGTCACTTGAGCAGCGGTGCCAGTGTTGCAAGATGGACAGGGTGCAGTCTGGTTGCAAGCCCAGCATGGCGCTGGGAGTCCAGGGCCTCCATAAAAGGCTCTACAACATGCCCTAGCCAGAAGTTTGGGCACAGCTGCTATTTTGGCTGCAGAACAGAAAAACTGTAAAAGCCTAGCAAATATATAGTACAGTCATTTATTTGGAATAAAGCTATGTGTACAAGGCCAAGTGCAATTGTAAATATTATGTCTAAAAGTATGGAGTGAACAGTGAAGATGTCCAGGGCTGAACTGTGCATTTGCACACCTGGTGATGCTTGGCTTCAAACCAGCAACAGGGAGGTAAGCCGAGCAGACCACTGGCCCATGCACCCCGTGGCTCATTTGGCAGGAGGGGAATGAGGGGAATTTCAAATTCACCCAAAACCAACACTACACAAGCAGGAAACGCAGAGGCTGAGCACAGTAGCGGTACACACTAACACCTCGTTCATTGCAAAAGCAGGTACCCGTTCTGCCTTATGCTGAAAATGGGCAAGATGTGCAAAGGCAACAGAAGTTTGGCATTAAAAGGTCTCTAAAAGCCAAGTAAAACTGGGCTTCTAGTTGCCTTCACTGTCCCCAAAAGCCTTCCCCGTCCCCTTCAACATGTGCCTCCTTCCCAAATGGACACAAGCTGGTTTTCAGCTGCATTGTGCTGAGCTATCGCAGCAGTTGCTGGAAAAGGAGAAAAGGTTGGGAGACACTGGGCATCCTGAGCCAAGTTTGCCATTAAATGTCTGATTTGAAAGAGAGTATTTCCCAGTGCCTGGGAAATACCTGGCAGTGACCACTGGGAACAAAAGCTCACGGCAACCTGAGAGCAACATGACAGGTAGACAGCAAACAGGATCTTTGGAAAAACAACTGCTGATGGACAGCATCGACAGAAGTGATGCACCAGTTTGGAGCTAAACATGCACCAGGGGATCATTGCATTTGAAGGCAATTTCAGGCTCGCTCTTGGTTTATGGAAGAGTCAGAAGTTGAAACACTCTCCAGTCCAAAAAAGGCTGAGTCCTGAGAAACACTGCTATATTTTCTGTCAAATTCACTGGTGATGTCAATGGGTGGATAATGATGCAACCAAAGGGTAAGTCAGACACAGCCAAGGAGCTGAGTTTTGCCAAGAGATCTCCCTGCCAGAGCATCAAAACCTTTCATAAAAATAAAAAAGTACCACCAACCTCTTACCCAGCATCAGACAGGCTCAGAGCTGCAAGCTCTACATGAGCGCCAAGCTCAGAGAGTCAGAATGGGAGCTGCAGAAAGACCTGGGAACAGAATTAGTTCCCATGAAAGCCATCTCTCGCAAGCATAGGAAATACCAAAGAAAGAGAAGGCTGCTACATTTACAGCGTGCTTGGGAAAGGGAGCCCCATCACATGGTCACGCACCAGAGATGTTTTCTACCAGCTGTGAAAGAACATGCCAGGCTTAAAGCTTCAAGAAAAACCTTTCTGGGACACTGACCATAGTTTTGCTTAAACTTAAGAATAATTAAGAATAAAATAATTTAAGAATTAAAAAAACAGAGCATTCCCTCCTCGTGAAAAAGGGGGGAGCAATGTTCAGTCTGATGCTGTACTGTATTTGCTGCCTGGGATGTTGCCATTCCCGTTGAGGGAAGCTCCTTTTATCCTGTGCAAAATGGAAAACGTTTTCTGGAGCGTTCCAAGGGAAGGAACAAAGAAATCTGCCCTCAAGTTCATGGTAAACTTGGGCAAATGCCATTGCTCTGTTGGCAGGAAGTCCCCTAAAAGCAAGCCAAAACATACTGCAAAGTGCTTTTGTGTCTGCCTGACAAGCATCTGGGTAATAGCTTTGGCTCCATGAGAGCTGGTTCTGAACAGAAGGAGAAGTGGGACAATTTCATTGACTAAAAAGTGATGTCCCAAACGGTGGCCTCACAGTCAGCCATGGCTGGAAAAACAATTGTCTTTCACAGGGCAAATGCTATCATCAAAAATAGGAGAGAGATTTAATCGGTACCACAACCCGGATGCACTTGGGTTTAATAGTAGTGT